TTGTCACACGACGTTCGGCCTTCTTTGAACTGTCGTGCCCACGAACGCACATTTTTCACATTCATGACACCATCACCACATGTCTCACTCAACTGGCGATGAATTTCAATGGGTGTCGCATCATGCAAGTGGAGAAAACGAATGATTACTCGCTGTTCTTGTAATGAAAACGTCGCCATTTTAAGTATCAAAAACACTCCTCACACTCGCCGCTACCACTAGAGTTCTGTGTGCCGTAGAGTTCTGCCATCTCTGTCACGCATTCACAAAGAGTGCACACGTATTTTAAACAAAACCGCATGTGTCTATCTGCTCCCAGTCCTGAGAAAAAAATCGGAGACCTTAGAACTTGAACACCCCTCGTACAACGTTCTAGGGTGTAATGTCATGTAGCATTGTAGAACTAGATTGACGATTCGGAGAATAAGATCTAAAAGTCTGTGACAATGGTAAATTAATATAATTACTGACGTTCTCGTCATTTTCCTTCATCCTGTTTCTTCTTTTAAAAACGTTTTGGAAGCTGGAATCTGCTTCTATCCTCGGGTAAAAGCTTACTCAGTTGGGCTGAAATGACAGAGCTAGTCCCTATCCCTGGACACCAGAACCAGCACGAGACAGGATACATGAACCAATCACAACGTAAACCGTCAGAAGGAGTTAAGGCAGACATTACAAAACTCCACACACATGAGACCTTGCACCTACTGCCATGTATAATGTAATGGCAGAGTCCATAAAATTATTAAAATAATGTTGGCTGATTTTATGGACTCTGGCCCTTATATTATGCATGGCAATATGAGTAAGGCCTCATGTGCGTGGAGTTCTGTAATGTTTAGCTTAACTCCAGCTGATGATTTATTTTGTGTCTCTTTATGTATACTGTCTTGTGTTGGTTTTGGTGTCTGAAGATAGGACCTAGCTCTGTTGATTGGGCCCAACTGAGTAGGCTTTTACCTGAGGATGGAAACAAGAGTCCAGTCTCAAAACATCATCTTTAAATAAAAAACAGGACAATGGATAATGTCCAGAAAGTCAATAACTGTGTTTTGGAAGATTTAGTGCTGCTATCTTCAGGAACAAAGAGTAAGCTGAGGAAGCAAGCAGCGAGTCAACTTCTACCAGGCTATACGGCGTCATCCCCCACCCCAAACAACAGTAATCCTGATAGCTTTTGACATAATTACCCGAAATCTTGCATACAGAAATACGTACTGAAGATTGCTGTGACAAAACACATATGAAACCAGTATACCTTTGCCCTAATTCTTAATGGTTATATTGCCAATTTTCACCGTTTTTCAGGTTACACAGACATTCAGGCCTTTAGAGCATAACAGATGTACATCCATGATTAAACTGAGTAAAACAGAAATATAAATCAGAAAATAATATGCTTTATCTATCTTCTATTTTCAACTATTCATGTTTCAAACACACAATCCTTATTTTATCTACTCCACAAAATGTGAAGATAGAACCATTACAAACTAAGGCAATAATATTGAAGCATGTAGACCCATTGCTGGACAACAGCCTCAAGACGAGGAAATATACAAGAGCCATTACTGAGCAACTCCTTCACAAACAAGCACTTATGTACCCATGGAAATAACTGACCTACAACAACAAAGCAGTGTGTTTTCTATGTGGTCCATGCCAAGATGTTATAAGCAAGAAAAGTTGAGAGCTGCAGTTAGCCTGTGAAGAGAAGAGTAGGAGGTTGGTTTGCGATGGCTGCCAGCCTGGGAGTTAGTCAGATGGGACAATGAGTGAGTTGTGGGATATTCACCAGCCTGTAAGGACGTAGGCAGAGGACACTGTTAGCATCAATCACCAGGAAGCAACTAGTGATGATACAGAACACTTTGCATGTACTGCAGTTACAGTGATCTTAGAGTGTGAAAACCAGTCAGTCTGTTTTAGTTGCTTGTAGTTAAGATCTGGAAGATGTCAATAAATTAAATCACCAATCCAAACCCCATTTAAAGTCACTCATACATCTGACAATGTATATTTCTGTAACAATTCTCCAATGCGAGAAAGTGGGGGTTAAGAGAATCAATTCCAGAGATGTATGGCAAATCTGAAAATCATCACTCTGTTACCAGAAAAAAAAAACATACATCTCGTGAAAACTGAAAAATTTTACTGTCTCAGAACACCATTACTCAGTGACAATATTTATGAACCTGTTTCACTGCACTGCATGAAGGTACTGAGTATGTCATAAATGACCAAGCAGTCTTTTGGAAATAGAAACCATAGAAATAGTCTTTTGTTTAACGTGCACTAAACCCCGCTACACAAGTGTCTGTAACACCAGTTGACCAGCAACTGTTTCAGTTTGTTCACGTTTCCTGTCTACCTCAAATGTTTCTGACTTCCAAATCACAGAACGTGTTGGCATTGAATATCCAAATAAGTGGCTGTAACCACTCTGGGTTGTTCAAATTCAAACAATTCTGTTTTGAGGTTACACTCTGCCAACATAAGCTTCTCTGTGCTAAGAACTTAAACTCCTATATATCTACATACTGTGGAAAAATTTTTAAATTTAAATTTTAAACTTTCAATTGCAACTATTTGGAATAATGTAAGGTTTGAGGTTTTCACGGCAGTGACTATGAAGAAAGTAGTCTTCTGGGATGTCTCGCCATGTAGATATTGTGTTAACCGACGTTTCGGAGGAACGCATCGCCTCCATCTTCAGGGTAGAAGAAAAAAGAAAAAACTCCGCAAGCGTGGAACCGGCGCGAGCAAATGCTCACGTCGGTTAACAAAATATCTACAGGGCACCACATGTCAGAAGACTGCTTTCTATTTGGAATAAGTTTCATTATAAAGTAGATTTAAGGTCACTCTACAAATTAATATTCGGCCCGCAACAACAGACACCTGTTGCATGATATGGATCCATATTGGGAAAATTAACTTTATAACGTGAGTTACACATAACATGTGTCTGATGATTAACTAAATCATAGGTCGAAACATGTAGTAAGAAATCTATGCTTACATTAAATAAGTAAATCTTACAAGTAACACACATATTACCGTCTGTTTTTGTCCTCACCCGAAGATATCCTGCTTTATTGTTGAGTTGACGGTCATAACCACACAAAAAAAAATCTCTGTTCAAGCCGTCTCAATCACCGCCGTGAACGCCGTGAAAGCAGGGAACTCCACGTGCTCAATGTTATTGGCGGGCAACATGGACGCCATGACGTCATTAGTGCATTATTCCTGCCATCTCTACGCATCGTGCCCGAACTAAATATAAAAATGTAAGATTTGAGGCTTTCACGGCCTTCACGGCAGTGATAGGCAGTGATTACGGAGAAAGTTGTCTTCTGGGATTTGGCACCGCATAGATTTTGATTCGTAGCGTCTCTAGTCGTCGAATGGCCAAATCCCAGAAGACTACAATTATAAATCACTCCGTCCAATGTGACTTGTAAGTTTTTTA